GTCCCAGAATAAAAAGGAGTAGGAATTTTAGCAGCATTAATCTTAAGTGTCCTGATTTTACAACTTAACTATAGAACAGGAGATAAGCTGTGCAACTGCTTTCATCCTACTAATTCAGGCTACTGTTATTAATAATGTAGGTGAGATTTACAGTAGACCATGGAGGTAGATTTAAGTTTAAAATCCAGGAAAACTAAATTTTGTTTGCTCTAGATTCAAGGCAGAGAACGCTAGAATTCTTTAGTTTACTTATTGCTAGTCCACTTTACAAATAACACCATAAATTTTACCCTACAACTTCAATTACCTAAGGCTTTAGGCACCTCAGTAAAATAATAAATTTCCACACAGGTAAATATATGCACCATTCCTTTAAAACAGAGAAATAAAATGTCTAATAGTAAATAAAAATCCAAGATCCTCCATGGATAAAACGTGTGTCTCATACCTATTGTGAGAAATAGAAACAATAGAAGGAAAATGAACAAACTCCTCATTCTTAGCCAGGAATAAGAATGCAACCATCAACAGCATCTTACAGTTTTCAGTACTTATGATATTAATATAATTTGTCATTTCAAAGCATTTTCTTTATATGAAGCTTCACAGAAGCCTTGTGCAATTTATTACCCTGATCTAGGTGATGGGAATTCAAAGGTAACAGTAATTGACCCTGAAAAGTGAGTGTCACACTCAAAATGCAACCAGCTCCTAACTTGCACCAGCTCTTGTACACATACTCACTTCTGGAAGTGTCTAGTCAACCTTGGGGGTTTGTGAACCTTGTTCTGAGTTGGTTTAAATATATTCTGTGTCTGAAAAGAAGATATGATCACTACTGTCATCAGTAGGCAGCAGGGTGTGTCCTCACACCTAAATTTTAAATACACAGGAAAATGGCTTCCTGACTGGCAAAGTACATCAGACAGATGAATACATTAATTTTTTTTGGTTGTTGTAGCACGTGGCACTCTCTGTGGCACAATAATCTGGGGTCTTTGTGATCTGTGTAGAGATATCACCACCAAAAGCCCAGTATGAAAGTCCCGTTCTGAACATTTTCTCTTGGAAAATTCTCAGGGAGGTGGAGATGCTCAGCATATGGAAGGTGCACTTTATGCATCACTCACTGAGGAGTGAGCATGCTCCTCCAATCCCCCGTGGCATCTAAAATTTCCTTGGAAACGTCTCCTGAAGTTACTCTGAAGATTTGCCTAAAATGACCCTGCTCAGTTTGTGAGATCACAGCTCACAAATAAACAAGCTCCAGCAGCTTTAGGCATTGATCCTATTACTCCAATACTTTATAAGCAGGCACTGTATAATTACTCTTAAAATTCTGGTCCAAAGTGTTCTTACTATTGATATACCTTGGAATGCTGGAAGTAAATGTAAAAAAGGATAGAAATATATTAGAGAGTGCCGAGCACAATTTCACTTACAAATTTGCTGATGTTTTCTATCCTGAGATCCTCTAATTAGCAACTCATGACATCACCCGACTTTAACCATTTTGGCTGACATTTTCTGCACTCCTTGCCACAGGCAGAAGTTGCTGTGGCTCAACTTCCCTTTGTAAATAGGAAGCCATAAAAGCCATTTAACTCACAAAAGTGGTAGGAACTAGTTTAATTAGTATTGGTAAGGCACTTTGATATTGTAATGTAGGTAAAAAAAGTCCATGTGGGAGTGAAAAAACTTTGTTTTCGGAACGTGGTTTGAATCTGTGTGAGGCTTGGGGCAGTGCACTGAACCAAATGTTGAAAAATCCTTAGGCAGCAAGCACCATCCATTCTGTGCATGACTGAGTCTGGAGTCTAGAGAAGAAATAATTATGTGATCATGTAATTAGACTGTAGAATAATTAATATACACAAGGGAAGGATAACTTCAAATACAGGTAATTGTAATTCCATTTTTTTCCCTGTAGTTAATTTTGCAGCCTCTATTTTCTTTCACTATAGCTTTTCTCCATGTGATATATGGTGTAAAGGAGACAAGAAGTGCAGGACTATTAGCTGATTTTTTTTTTCCCCTTTATTAAATGTTAATGTGAAACCTGCAACAAAGGATGTGATTGCCCTTATGTTATTCTACAAGTTTGGCTGTGCTTGGTCTTTCAAGTAGAGAAAACTTCAGAGTCATTTAACCAAAAGAAAATCAGAATCTTTCACCTTATCTGCCAGGCTTCCAACTCTCTAAGTATATGCTTGAACTTTGAAATTTCTAACACTGTGTGCAGGCATGAATTATTTCTAGCTCACCAGGTAGGACACATCTCTGTTGCAAACACAGAGGTGTGAGGGGATTGCCTTACAACATTGCTGCACCTTAGCTTGGTTTCTGCAGAATTTAGATTTGTAGAGGTTTAGGAATTAGTTGTGTTGAGACTAGAGGATCAGCTTTTAGATTTATTATTAGTTATATTATAAATAGAGATATTGGTGATTACAGCTGTTCTTGTTTTCCTGGTCACCTTTATCTTTTCTTACAGGACTGGAAATAAGACTCCACTGAGGCTGTAATTTCACCTTCTTGTCCTGGCTAGCCCAGCTCAGAGAGAGAACAGTTTGTGGTTTGCTTTTCATTGTAGACATCAACAAAATTCTTAGGAATCAACAGTAAATCTCTCACTGAATTCAGTTACACAAGATGAGATTCTGGATTGGAAAATTCAGCAGACACCCACCAGTAACTGAGGAAAGAATCAGAGTACTTGGGCAGGTGACTTTGAGGCTCTTATTTCTATTCCTCTATAGTCAAAAGCAAGCACTATGGTAATTCATATTTCTGGTTGAGAAATCATTTATTTAGTAGTCTCAAAAAAAGCTGAAAGTAATAGATGGTGTAATTTAAAACCTAGAATGTACTATTACAAGAACAGCAAGAAACAGTCTTAATGATTTTGAAGGGGCTTTCTTTCAAATGAGGAAAGACTTTGATAAACCCATAGAATAATTTTTTTAATTTCTGGGGTTTTTTTCAGGAAATTCATGAATGTGTTTTTGAATCAGATTTAAGCTTTAACCATGTAGAATTCAAGGTTTATTACTCATCCACAAGGTTAAATAATTGCCATACTTTTGTTTGATATTGCGTTACAGTTTGAGTGGAGAAAATAAATCAGATTAACTTCTTTGTCTAATTCTATGGTTTTTGTGTTCCAAATTGTATATGGCTGGCTACCTCTTTTTCTTGAAAGTCTTTCATTTCACAGCAGTGTGTTCTACTCTTTATTCTAAGTAGGTTTCAATATTTGAGCTATTGTTTTTTACTGAACACAAAAGGTAGAAGGAACGATCCTCCATCTTCTCATCCTCAACTTTGCCTGAGCTTCCTGACCTACAAACTAAAGAATTGCTATAACATGTCAGGAAGTGAAGCCATTCCGTAAGGATTAAGGTCAGGAAAGTATATGTACTAGTGATAGAAATGTTTATATTCTTAGTCTTTGTGCCTCATGATCCTCATCATTTTCCTCATTTGCTTCAGCAGTTCTTTGCACTTGTCTTTTGTTGCAGACTATAATGTCAAATTAAATAAGGCCTGCAGAATCCTCAAACAGATAAATGATCATTGGGAAAATACAACTGAGAGCAAGTCTTACGAAAAACGAGATAAATATTGAGGGAAGAAGTATTGAGGCATCTGCCAAGCTGTCCTTGTGCTGTAAAATCAGCATTTTGCAATGCCAAGCCAAGCAATGGGCCAAATTTCCCTCTGAATGCAATGCAAGCTGCACGTTTCACCCAAGCCTCCTTGAAGATTCTGGCTAAGAGCACAAAAATGAGCATGGTCTTAAATTTGGGGTCATAACAAGATCTGAACCCAAGTAAATGATACATATTGTTTAGGAATTTATAAGGAAGAAGTGGCACAGAACTGAACAGGATTCAATTTTTGTCTAGAGTATGAAAGTAAAAAACTTGGGCAATTCCATTTACAGTGAAATACTTTCTTATCGTGGACTTGTAAATAAAAATATCTGACCATAAAAGAGACCAGGACCGTTCTTAGCCTACTTTGGAGTTACAAATTTGTATTATTTATCAGAAATTACTGGAAGGAACCTAACAGGATACGGCCACAGCCTGTGCTAAGACCATAGACCACATTAGTTTCTGGTGCTGCTGTCCCAGATAATAAGTAATGCATCTCACTGAACACACTCCATTCTGGGAGAACTTACAGTTCCAAATGTGGCAGCAAGTGAACACCAGACAAGTATTTAGTAGTTAGGAATATAAATGCAATTCATGCAATAGAATGTCAGATTACTTCTCCATGTCACTAAGACTTTATTTAGAGAAGGTTTTTTCCTGTTCTCAGCCATATGACTGGATTTGCAATTAAGATCTTTGTTTAATTTCTTTAAAACATCATTCCTGTTTATACATCTTCTGCAATCCCTTTTTTACATGTAATTGCTTTAAAATCTCAGAGGATATAATTAGCTGCTTGAACTGATATCTTTTAATACTAAGTACAGTGATTTGACATTCTAAAGAAAAAACTGAATGAAGCAAACTTCACATAATTCTAATCTGGCAGCTGATTTTCTTTATTTTCTATCTGTGCCACTTTCTTTAGTGTCTGAAATTCAGCTGTAGGTTTACATTTCCATAAGGCCACACTGCTTGTGTTTACAGGAATGATGTGAAAACTCAAACAAGCCATTCCTGTCTTAGAAAGCACCATTCCTTCATCTTACCTCAAGGTGAAGCCAATTTCTTTTGATCTATACTATTGGAAACTGGATTGTTTATTTCTGGTCACCTTTCCTACTCTTCCAGAGTACTGTCCTGACTGGGAAAGTTGTCCCTGAGCTTGTACCTGTATCTGCAGACATCTCTATTTAATAAGGGTTTCAGCAATAACTTTTTTCATGTCTGATGGTAAAGGATACCTCTGTTGTGCAGATACCCTAAAATGACAGTGGGAGGGCTGAAAAGTCCTCCTTCACTGAAAAGTCCAATTTTCTGTCTTTTTCACAGGTAGATGGTGGAAATGACAGTCATTAACTTCAGGAATGCCTGCAGAAACTGATGAGAACAATTTCTTATTACAGGGAAATGGAGAAATTGTGTCCTTTCCAGGTTTTCCCTCACCCCTCCCATTTTCTTGCTGGATGAATGTCTGTCATTCAGGTAGGAGTCAACCTCCTCAATTTAATGCACCTTATTGTCTCCAAGTGCAGCATTTCTTAGAGCACAGCTCCTGCTCTATGTGATGACATCCATGGCACGATTTATATGGAGGTACTGGGATAATCTTCAGGGAATGAATCTCTATACAGGCAGAGATACATCATTGCTGTTGCTTTAATAGCAGCACAATCCAACCAATCTCTTCCACACCCTAGCTGCTGAAACTTCTACAGTGTGAGGAGTTTTAGCAGTGCCTTGTATCACACCCTCCTCTCAGTGCCTTGCAATCAGCACAAAATTCTGGAGGTTTAGGTCTCAGAGTCAGTCCTGATCTTTCTGGAGTTACTTTTCCCCTCCTTTTACTGTTCCACAGAAAATAGTTTGTCATTCTTATATGAGTGTGTGTGTGTATATGACATATGAGTGAAATTGTTTTAACAAGTCTGTTCTTCAAATTTCTACTGAAGTGTTCTGGCACCAGTAACACTTTATCATACAGCAGGCAATTTCAAAAGCGTTTTGCAAATTGGTTCCACCTGTTCAGCCATGAAGATCTTGCTGGTTGTCTGTATGATCAGATGAAAAGGCATTTCTGTGTTTTCTGCCTTAACCTAATTTCCTTAAACAGTAGTTCCATTTTTTTTCCTCTCTTCTAGAGAGTATCTTGTGCTTACTGAGGAATACAGCTATGTAAAAAAGAAGACTTGTATGTAGACCAGCTCAAAAGAATGTGGAGAGGTAGCAAAAAACTGAACGCTTCCTGGTCACAGATTAGAGCAGTCTCATTTCCCCTTGAGAATGTGTAGCTGACTATGCTTTAGTGAGATATTTCAGCAACCAAGGATCAGCACTGGAGTACTTCACCTGCTGCCATTTCTGTGAGACAAATACTGGTTTTCAGATTTTAAAAGAAAAAAAAAAATAAAAAAAGCCTGCCCTAAAATGGTTTCTTCATATGTCCAGCATCTGTGAGTTTAGGCAAGGGTTTGTGCAGCAGTCAAGTCACAGTCACAAGTTCTACTCTTTCTTTCCATTTTTTCTTTATAGTTCCTTCTCTTGCAGTCTACAGCTACTTTCAGTCTCATATCTGTCCTGTCAGTGTCACTTCACTCGTCATCCAAGTTCTTGTCCATGGCATTGCATTCTTATGCTTCCTGCTCACTCACAAACATATTCCATACAGCCCCTGAGAGAGCTGTCACTTCTAGTTCCATCATGACAACCTACTCACTTCCTTTTTCCTTGAGTGATGCTTTTCTTCTGCATGGCCATTTTCTGATCCACTCTGCCTTCCTGGCTGTGCTGTTAGAATACAAATGCATTTCCTTCCCTGGTAGCACTCTTCCCTTTCATGTCATATTTCCATGTCGTTCAGAGTTTCCTGCACTTGGGACCTGACTCAGTGATTCCCATCTCACACCTACTGTCCAGCAGTCCCTCTAGTTATGCCTCACTAGAAACTGAGCTATGAAGCCTGGCTTAATTAAGAAAGTTTTTTAAGATGTGTCTGTGTAGGCAGTGTGGAGCTGCCCCAGTGAATTGCACTGGTGAAACTTTGCAGGGTGGAGTCACTGTTGCCTCCTCCACACAAGAGCTCAGGCACAAAACTACCTGTGGAGATGCTTCATTAGCCACACTAAAGACACTCCAGTTTTTCCTTTGATTATGTCTGCCATGGAGATTCTGCCCAGGCCAGCTGTAAAGAGTTGTCTCAGGATTAGAAAGAGCCCAGCTGTGACAAGTTGGAGTTTCATTTAAACTGATTTCCCCCTTGCTGTTCACAGCTACACAGGGTGTTTTCAGTCAGCAGCGTAAACACAGCACTTTCCTTCCCAGCACTGATAATCAAGACAGCAATGGGAAAAGAGTTCTAAATCCTGAGCAGGTACAACATCCCAGGTTATACAGCCAGCTCCCTTTTATACAGAGTCCTTGCTCTCTCAACTGAACATCGCTGAGCTGTTGTAGCCAGTCTTTCTGGATGAGATAGAAATGGGAATTAGCAATGCTTACCTAAGCAGGGGCTTTGAAAAGTGAAACAACTCGGAGACAAACTCAGTTTTCCAAAATTGCTGATAAATTTCATATAACCAGCATGCAACTATTATAGTTCTGAAAACCTGCAGCATCTTAAGAAATAATCTAAATTTTGTGTAATCAGTTCAGTGGAACTTGTGCAGTTGATTTGGGAATCATGATTACAGAAGTGTGATTTCCCAATAGGAATAACATTTTGGGTGTTAGAGTAAAATATATTTTAAACAAGAAATGTCTTTTATAATAACAACAATCATTAGGTTTGGGGCTTCTTGTATGATTTATTTGCACCAAAAATTTACCTCCAATAGGATCGTATTTTAACTTTGTATTGGATACCCTAAATAGATCTCAGCATGACAGCAAATGAAAATGAAATGAAGTGTGGGGGGAAAGGGCAAATTAGAAAGTAGTCCAGTGGTTTTGAACATCATTCTCAATGGGAGAGGAAAAAAAGGAACAACCAACATTCTGTGTTTCTGATCATATTCATCAATATCCTTTGGGGTTCATGAGTTGTTACATATTGAATATCCCATGATCCTTTTGGTCTGGACAAAATTCCTGTGCCATTACCAGGAAAACTAAGATTCTCTCAGCAATTTAGGCATTTCTTTTTCTGCCTTCACTCCTGACTCACTTTTTGGTGTATCTTTTTTTTCTTATGGACAAGTGTAAGATTACCTGGAAAGTGTAGCAAGGAAACACTTCTGCAGTTATCTTTCCTTCTGAGTAATGTAGTGCTAGCAGTGGTGGCCAGGGCATCATTTACATTCAGGACAGCTGACCCAAGAGTTGAAGGTTGGGGAAAAAAGCCATGCACCATAACAAACAGGCAAAATTGCGACAAAGAAAAAAATCAGAGGAACAGAAAATAGTCTAAAAGCATATAGGCTACCTAAATAGTAAAGAGATCTTTGATATACCACTGCCCTTCAAACCTGTTGTATTTTTTCCCTTTCTTCACTGTTTCCTTTTTCTTTTTTCTTCTATTTCAGAAACTGTTCTGTGAATGAACATTGCTATTTTCTGAGTCCTTTCAGCCAGAAAACGCACTCAACCTTCAGACCAGTTATTCTGTGGAATGTTTTACTTCAAGTGTTCTACTTCAGCCAGTATAAATTCACAGGAAGTGGGAAGAAAATCAAAAAACATGAACATTTTCATTCTCTCAAGCCTCCGAACTTCAGCTGGGTTTGTTCACAGAACTAATTTAGGAATGATTTAAGTGCATTTCAGGTCTTCAGACAGAATTCACATTTGTTAGAATCGCAGGAGCTGGAGACTGTAATTTTATTCTTTTCCTATAAGCTCAAGATTTCATTGGTAAAAGCTGTTTCTTCCTGTACTATGCAAATCTGTCCAGTTTGAATAGCCTTGTCTCTCTGTGCCATATCTGCAGCCTCTCCCCAAAGCTCTAATGCTGATTCTTCTCCTTCCAATGACATTTTTCTCCTGGGGCACTTCCCTGTTCATGAGAGTGGTCAGAACACCAACATTAGCTTGGAACTTCCTGATGAAAAGATGTTTTCTGGGATGATTGCCCCAGTGGGATCCATAATTCACATGTGACTTTTCATCTGATGAGGAGTGAAACCATTCTGTCCCTCCTGTCCCAGCTGAGCCCTGTGTGATCCATCATGGGTACCAGAGGGATCATTTTCAGTCTAATTCCCAGTATTTTCTGGCTGTACAAGCAGACAGAGCAGCAAGGCACCTGGAAATGGAACTCAGAGGCAAAAATCAGAAACCTGCAGCACTGGGGCATGCAGGGATACAACCAACACTTGTTTGCATCAGCATCTCAGTCATATCATAGGTCTGAGTACCTTCAATTTTGCCTTCCATCCTTCTCTGACCCACATACCCTCTGTTTGTTAGGGGATCATCTTTTGGCCACATGGCTTCTTCTTTGTTTCCCTTGCATGACCTCCAGAGGGATCTGCCGTAGGGATTCTTATCTTCAGCCCATAATCTCTTTAAAATCTTTCCCAGAGCATGGCACTCCATTCAAAAGGACCTAATGGCTGTATTAGGTTAGTTGGCTTTGTTATTTTTATATGGTTATTTATCAACTTCAGGCAAGATTTTCAAAAACATTGTGGGGACAAAAATTCAAAAACCCTCATAAAAATTAGATGTTCTGTTGTAAGCAGATCAAATTCTGCCTATAAGATATGTCTATAAAAATGAATTTTAATTGGATGTCAAAGACATGAACAACTCTATTTCAACTGTAATTCTGTAATTGCAAATTATTATATCACTTCTATTCTAGATAAGGATCTTCAGAATTACCTGAATTTGTATCTACAGCCAGGTAAGGGTCAAGTTCATTTGAGATCATGAATAATGATGATTTTTAGCTTTATCAGGACTTGGAAATCAGGTCAATATTTAAATATTGTAGGGAAGGCTGTCCCATATGACTGGATTCCACAATCATATCTCTATGAGATTCTTGTTAGATTTTTATGCAAGATAGTGCTCTTTCTCAAGAATATTTATGTCTATATCTAATTATGTCTAAATTGGGCTAAAGCTGTAACAACCTTTGCCAACTGAGTCCCCTTGCAATGGAGGGAAATTCCACTTCTGGCAGGCAGTCATTGGAGTGCTTTAGCCTGCCTGGACATAACTATACTGGCAGAGAGCTCATCCTTGTTGCTGTACTAAGCTTGGAAAGATGAGCCAAGAAAAACAATAAAAATCAAATGTGGATGTTCGTTGATACTGCTATTGTGACTGGACAGTTCAACAAGTCAAAATATTCCGTAACTTCTAAACAGAATTTCAGGTAGCTGCTAGGTTGATCAGCCAATCCAATTGTGGCAAAATATCCTAATCCAGAGAATATTGCCAAATGCTCTTTGGACACTGATCATAGTCCATGCAATTGTTCTGAAATTTTTGTTCAACGAGAACTGACATATAGTTATTAAAAACAATCAAACATCTCCCAGACAACAAGCAGAACAGGGGCATCATTCGTTTTTGACACCACAGAATAATCAAACACAGTCCTAAAGAACTGTGTCTCTCTCAGACTGTGCTGAAATATGTGTTTTCTTTGCTGTGCCAATGTTTTTAGAACATTTTCACGGGGCACAGACTTGTGTCAGTGGATGTGGGTACCACAGAACCTGTGACTCCTGGTGAGCATCTTTTGAAGACAGGTTTGCAAATGAAAATTCTGAGGGCTTATACAGGGAAATAGAGCACAGGAATTACATTATTTTTGCACTAGAATTATGAAACAATGACAGGAGCACACACTGCCGTGTCACAGTAATGATACACGTGCAAATTAAAAGATACAGCATGTTCAGCTTTATTGGGATCCTCACCTTTCATTTTTTTTAGAGCAGGTGAAAAAAATAAGAGGTTTGGAGTAGTTTGTTCCAGTAAAGCAATTCTCTGCTTCATCAAACCATATTAATGAAAGTTTAAAAACCCTTACATCTCTTCAATAAATAAGCAAGGGGTGTGTATATAATGGTACAGTAATAAAAATGCTAATTATTTAATATTGGGAAAGAATAGATCTGCTCACAGTAGCCCCATGTTAATTAGTAGACTTTATTTCCTCAATGCAGTTTTATTTTAATGAATAACACTCTGCTGTTTCAACAGAGAAGGCTTCCTTTTTTGGATTTCATAACTCTCCAGGGCACACTAGACAGCGAATCATTTATGCCCAACATGCAAACATTGAAAAAGCAGGAGGCTCATTCAAGTTATTTTGGTATCTTCTCTTTGATTGATGTGGAGTAATTTCAGCAAAATTTCCTATAGGAAGAGCTCAAAACTTTTCTACACATTGCCTGCTAAATTAGACTTACTCTGGGAAAACATCTATGTCATGCTCAGTATTACAGTGCAATATTAATTTGGTTTGGGAAACTATATAAGAGATTTTATGACTAAGAATGTCTGAAGAAAAGAAAGGAAAGTCATTATGGCAGTTGGTATGTATTCTCTAAGGTTTTGGTTACACATTAGTAAAGCTGGATAATACCATTGTTATGAAGATATTTTTGCCAACCTTCTGGGTAAATTAAAGCTAAAAACACTTTCCTATATTACACCACTAGTATTGAAGTTGTTATTTCCCTTCCAGTAATCTAAGCAATGGGGTAATGATAATGTAAACAGAGCCTCTGTATTCCTGCACACTTCTGGGAAACTCTCTCCTATGTTGCAAGAAATAGTAAAAGTTATTACATCCACTAATACCATGGATTGCACACTGACATTTTTCTGGTCAGTCCCCCAAAAATCTAGAGCCACAAGCCACCCATATTCAATGTCAGTAATGGGTCCTGTATATGATTTTGGCTCGTTTTAATTTTGTATTCAGTCTTTTTTTCTCTGAGATGGTGAAGAACAATTATCTGTTTGATTTTGAAAGCAGGGGCACAGAGAGAGGAGATGCTGGGTGAAGCAGAAGAACATACAAGAATGACATTAACTTCTTGAAACAGAGCTATGGCATAAGTCTCTCAATGATTGACCAGATCTGGTTGGGTCCCTGTAGTCTTGCTGACCTCTAAAGACAAATTACACTAAGTGACCTTTTCTATTGGGTAGAGTCTGTCCCAGATCTGTGTGATCTGAATAAAAGCAGACCTTAAAACATGTATGGTTACAGTGTTATTCTCAAATGATAAATTGTAGTGTCAATTATAATTTACTCATAGAGAGAAAAGATAACATAATTTCAAACTAATATTACAGGGAAATCTTCCATAACAGTCAAGGAAAATACATATATTATGAGTGACTGCTGGTGGTATTACTATTATTAAAACTGTTATGGTTATTATTAAGATTGCCAAGCACTATCTGTTCCAATACCAGATTTTTAATCTGACAGTCTTTTACTGAAGGTGCTAAAATTTTCCTTACTAGACAGATCTCATCTCCCATGGTCCAAATGCTAAGTACAGCCTGAGCTACCTGACCCAACTCTACCAGTGAATAAGGATAACGATAAATATTGTTTTTTTCCCAGTTATGCTGATTAGGAAAGTGAAATGCACAGTGTGAATGCTTGTGAAGGGTGGCTCTGCCATGAGGGAGGAGTTGTTGGATAAGGAGGCTGAAAAGCAATGCAAGGAAAGGAGCTGCAGTGAGTTACCTTGCCCTGTGATGCAGCACAGGATCCCAGAGAACTTTCAGCAGGGACAGGAGGGGAAAAATAGGGCAGAGAATAATGAAGGAGGTTCCCCACAAGCCCTAAGAGTCTCTGGCTGGGAACAGGAAGAGTGAGGGAATGGAAACAAAGGAAAAATAAGCTGGAAACCAAGCTGGGGACAATGGTCTGAAGCTTGGCCAGCCAAGGGCCCAGAGGAAGAGCTGGGAAGGGGCTGGGGCTCCTAGCCCAGCTGGGGCTGATTCTGAGAGCTCCCCTTTTCCTGCCCTCAGGAAATAAAAACTAAAGACAAAGTGACCCATCCTTCTGTAGAGCAGCTCTGTGGAAACTGCTGGAGTGCACTGCTCCTTGTTGACAGTGATATCGGTCCTCAATTAAATGGAATTATTTTTAATACTTTATTTAAATTAAAAAAAAAAAAAAAAAAAAAAGCAAGAGGGTGGAGGGCAAATTTCAGTTTCTTTCCCTTCCTTGATGCTCAGATAGTGTTTCTCAATCACATAGTATGGTCCTTTGGAGTCTGATTTTTCTAATCAGCACTCATAGATGCCATGGCATCTCCAGCTCTAAAACTGTGCTTCTTGTCAGTAAAGAAAGTTAACTTCCCTCCAAAGGAGTCTGACAAACGCCATACAGAAATATAAGCAGAAATAAAGAAATTTAAAAATAAAAATGATGGAAAGCAGGTTGCCTAATATGAGAGTCAGAGAGGTTGGAGCCAGGGAGGGTCAGATAAGGACACAGAAGAGCAGAAAAATCACAAAGTTGAAAGGCCAGAGCATCAAAAGAAGAAGCAGGCAAGAGAATAACCAGTTATGTGCATGAGTCATCACAAATGGCATTTGACAGTCCATGGTCAGCATGGCCAGAAGGTATATTTGTGTAAAAATTACATTGTTGGGCTACTTTCAATCTCTGGTCACAAGAAAATAAAAACAGCTCCTTGTGTCTCATTAAAAGCAATGCTACTAAAAAAGGATGAATTCTGTGAAAGGAAGAGATTTACTGAGGTGGTGTGGTGGGTTGGTTCTGGCTGGGTGCCAGGTGCCCACCAAAACCACTCCATCACTGCCCTCCTCAGCTGGGCAGGGGAGAGAAAATGAAATAATGGAAGGGCAGGGAGAGACCACTCACCATAATAACGTTGTGGGCAGACTCAGCTTGGGGTAATTAGCTTAATTTATTACCAGCCAAACTGCAGTAGGATAATGAGAAACAAAAAATGAATCTTGAATCACCTTGTTCCCATCATTCCTTTCCTAACTTCACTCAGGATTTCTCTGCCTCCTGTCCTCTGGGGCTGCAGGGGAGCAGGAATAGGGGCCATGGCCAGCTCATCACACACTGTCTCTGTTTCCAAAGCAAAGGGAACCAAGGACAGCCTGCAGCCTTTGCAATGGATATCTGAATTGTATTTCTACATTTTCAGGCCCCAAAGCCGGTCATATGAGTATTTGTGGCATTTCTGTTGCCTAGATATTTTTTAAATGAAATTATTTTCACCATGGGACTCAAAATTATTTACACAAAAGCCTCTGAATGGTTCCTTTAGCAACATTTTAGCCAATTGAACAGGAGTGTACCTTTTTCAAAGTGAAATTTTAACACAATGGCTTTCAGCAGCTGCTCTCAAGCCTCTGTGGTGCTTTGTACAAACTCTGCCTGCAGTACTTCATGCCTCATTTCCCTTAACTTGACATTCTCTATATTTGTTGAAAAATTGGTGAATACATATCATTGTTAAAAATGTTTATCCCTCCATTCTAATGGGAATAGTAATAAAAAGGGAAGGACAAAACTATGTCATAGTACACGAAAAGCAGCACAACTCTACCCTTCAGAGAGGCCTTACAAGGAACTATGAAACTCATGCTGTTGAGAAACTATTTGGCTTCTTTCAGATATTTTTACTGCTTCTCTCTTTTTTTCATGTGGTGGTTTGCATGGAAACAAGAGGTCAAGTTCTGCTCTCAAATCAGCATAAATTTGAAATTCAACAGTTACAGTAAACAAATAGCAGTGTAAGCAGAAGAAATCCCACACTGGCTTTCTGAGTGTGTTTTATAGCCGATGACCTAGATGCTGGAATGAATTCTTACCCAAATTGCACTGCACCCAGACTTCTGGAATTACTGTGCTTCAGGCTGACATTGAATGGAAAAGATCCTAATTTCTTATCTTTTCCTTTCTTTATTTCCTTTTTTTTTTTTTTCCACTTAAGATCTAGAGGACATCTCACTGCTTAGTTGATGACCAGTGAGTGTTTTACCTGGAAGCGCAGAAAATGTGTTCTGGTGCTTCTTTTTGGCCAGAAATTCTGTGTGACAGCAGACAATCCAGCTCATACACTTGTGCCTTAGTTTCCTCCCCTTGGGAATGATGCAGAGTGGTCTCAACAAAAATTCTGGGGGACATTTAGTGGCATATGAAAAGTGCTTCGCTTGGAAGGGGTTACTTAACTCCAGCAACAGCTAAAAAAGTGCAATCCTGTTGTTTTCCAAAGCATCAGAGTAAACAATACAAGTTGGAAGAATGTGCTGTTTCCAGAGTGTGACTTTAAAGAATGAGTTATGAGATGATGATGTTGTTGCTATGGTTACAGATCCATTTAAAGGAGTGACTGCACTAAATACTATTACAAAAATTAAGTAAATATTAAGCAGCAGTTTAGAACACAGGTGTGTAGGAGTCAATGTTTTTTTTTGTGATTTTAATTACTCTTAATATTTGTGAAAGTGGCAGAATGAAAGAGCTGTCCAAAAAAAGGGTGTGATGCCTGATTAGTTCTTGGAAGGCAGATCTCTAATGCTTATCTTTCCTGTACTCCACCAATTCCTCCTGAACTTAACTAATATGCAATGGAGAATCATGGTACAGGCAGAAAAGAGATGGAAATGCCCTTCCATAAGAATTGTTGCATTAAGCTCAGGATCTTACACAGAGGGTGACAAAAAGCTTGCTATTTACAACTTACACATGAGGATAGGGAGCTCTGTGAGCTCATATAGTCATGGAAACTGTGATGTGGGGGATGTTTTATTTTCTATTCCACCATGGAAACACTTAGAGCCCTGAGTGTATAGCAAGGGCATGTGGCATCTGTCCTCAAGAGCTGCTGAGCAAGCCAGCTGCCCAGCCTGGGTGCTGCTTATTCCTAGAGCAGCTATTCCAGGGCTTCCCAGGCTCCTTGCTGCTTGAACACGCTCATTTTGCTCCAGGAGGAAGCCAAGGGGCAGTTGGCAAGCTGATTTGCTCCAGGGTTCACTGCAGGCAGAAAACATGAAATAGATAGTGCTAAAACGGGCTCCTTTAGCCCCAGACAGACTGCTGACACCGTGCCAGCAGGTCCTGTGCCCACAAAGACAAGCACACACCCTGAGGACAGGCTGCAGGGCAAGCACTGCATGCCTTTGGCATCCTGCTCTGGGGAAATCTGGCTGCAGTACAGATTTCACCTTTTTCTTTCTGATTATGTCACTGTGAAAGCACAAGATATTTTAGTTATGTCTCAAGCCCACTGAGCCAAGGATTGCTACCTGGAACAGATGAGTTTGGTAATGTAGATGCAGGGAATTTCAGGAAAAGATGGAAATATTGATTATTGGCAAATCTTTAAAGCTTTATTTGAGTACTCATTTTCTATAATCATAGAAGGGCCATGAATTTATAAAGAATACATTCAAATACATGACAGGTGGTTGCCTGTCAGAAACTTGTATGTTCTCTAAGAGTTTGTACCTAAAAGACTTGAGCCTTGGGAGATACTCAGCATATGGTAGTTAAGAAAAAGCTCTTTTTAAAATTGTACTGCCACTATATCTAAATATAATCCTAAAGAGAGAGAGAGAAAAATATCAAAATCCAGGACTGTAATTATGCTTACCAACCTACTTCATTTATCAAAGCACATTAGAAAATGAGCAGAGAATT